AACCAACTGAGCCACCCAGGCGCCCTGGTTTTATTTTTCTTTTTCCAGTCTGTCTGGACTAGCTATCTACCAGTGCCCCATATTTCATATCCTGAGATAGATAACAGCTCTAGATGTTTAAAACAAACAAAAAGTGCCCGAGCTCAACCACTGCCCATCCTACCACTCCTATGGTTAAGTAATAGACTATACTGCATGAAGAAAAATTTGGAGAAAAGATGATTAACAGTATGAAATAATATCACTTCAAATCCATAAGCCTGTTATGGTCACCACTGAAATCTGTTTCAAAAGGGGGTGGCAGGGGCACCTGGCCGGCTTAGTCAGGTAGAGCATGGGACTCCTGATCTTGGGATTGTGAGTTTGAGCCCCATGTTGGATGTAGAGATTACTTAAAAAAAAAAAAAAAAGTAAAAGAAAGGGGTGACAGTAACTATTCTGTTTTAACTTATTATGGATCAGTGGTTCTCTAAGTGTGGTCAGAGGATGTTTGGGGGCCCTTTCGGGTGATCTACGTGGTTAAAACAAATTTCATTATAACACTAAGACCTGATTTGCTTTTTTCTCTTGTGCTGAAATTTGCACTAATTGTGCAAAAAGCAATGGTGGGGAAACTGCTGGGCCTTTAGCTTGAATCAGGACAGTGTTATCAAACTGTGCTATAGTTCTTGTGTTCTTTACCACCACACACTTGTGGTAAAAACTTGCTAGTTCCACTTAAGAATGTTCTTCATAAAACAGTTAAAATTAGTTTTGTTGAACTTGACCCTGAGTACAAAAATTTTAAATTATACTTTTTATTTTGAGATAATTTTAGATTTACATGCATTTGTAAGAAATTATGTAGAGAGATCCCATGAGCTCTTTGCCCAGTTTACCCCAATGGTAATGTCTTGCAAAACTATAATGTTACAACCAGGATATTAAAATTTCTATATATATTCATCTTCTAAGTATTTTATGTGATGAAGAGAGAAAGGCACATAAAGTTTTTATTCATGCCGAAATATCAAGTTGTTTCGAGGAAACGCACTTTTATGATTGTTTGAGTTGTGAGCTGAACTAGTCACCTTTTTATGGGCACCAATTTTATTTGAAAGAGTAACTGACAAATTTTGAATAAGAAGATGAAGACCGGTATATCTGCTAAACATTTTGTCAAAAATGAAGTGATTTATAAAACCTGACAGTAAAGAAAACTGGTAGTAATTTTTGTTAATTAATTAGCAAAAAAATTAGCCACTGTTAAGCGGCTGCCTTCGGCTCGGGTCATGATCCCAGGGTCCTGGGATCGAGCCCCGCATCAGGATCCCTGCTCAGTGGGGAGTCTGCTTCTCCCTCTCCATCTGCCTGCCGCTCTGCCTGCTTGTGTTCGCTCTCTCTCTCTCTCTGTCAAATAAATAAATATTTATAAAAAAATAGTGTCTGTCACCATGAACTTGACAGCTTTCTAATACTTAGTCTTTTGTGATGAGATTACTAATGATATTAATGAATGTGATTTTGTAATACCATATAATGAAATATGTCAACATTTGGAAGGTCTCCCTAACTCATTGAACCAGTATTTTCTAAATGATTACTGTGTGATGCTACAAGATCATCTGTGGTGATATTAAAGTATAAGATAGACAAATGGATTTTAATTTAAGAGAAGCTAGAGGTGCCTGGCTTGCTCGGTTGGTGGAGCATGCAGCTCTTGATCTCGGAGTTGTGAGTTCGAGCCCAACCTTGGGGATAGAGTTTACTTAAAAAAAAACTGCAAAAAAAAAAAATTAAAATTAATACCAATCTTAGAGAGATAAAGGTCAGATTCCACATTACAGTAACATTTAAGAAGTTACCACTTGTTGATTTTTGGTGTAGTGTCAATAATATTGACAAATATCTGAAAAGGCCATTAGAATACTTCTTCATTTTTAAATTCTGGATGTGTGAGTCCAGATTTTCTTTATCTTGGCAGATTAAATGCAAGAGCACACTGGGATGCCTGGGTGGCTCAGTAGGTTGAGTGTCCAACTCTTGATTTTGGCTCAGGTCATAATCTCAGGGTTCTGAGATCAAGCCCCATGTCAGGCTCCATGCTGGGTGTGGAGCATGCTTGTGATTCTCTCCTTCTGCCCGTCTTGCCACCCCCCTCTTAATTAATTAATTAATTAATTAATTAATGCAAGAGCACATATAAAATATCAGCTGTATTCTGTTACACTTATGATTAAAGAGATTTTCAAAAATATAAAATAATGCCACTCTTTTCACTGATTTATTTGGTTATTTTTTTTTTAAGATTGTATTTATTTATTTGACAGAGAGAGACACAGCGAGAGAGGGAACACAGCAGGGGGAGTGGGAGAAGGAGAAACAGGCTCCCTGCAGAGCTGGGAGCC